ATTCCTGTAAGATGCATGCTGGCTCAGCAGCACTGCCCTAAGCCACCAGCAGTTCTTTGCCCATGAATTCCCTGCACCTAGGTCCCACTACTACTGAGCTATCAGCAGATGATCCCAACTCTCCTGTAAACCTGGAGGTGCTCCTTTCGTACAGATGAGACAATGGTCAGAAAAAAGGAGGCAAAAGCTCCAGCCTCTGAGCTCAACTCAACAGCATCGTTCCCAACACAGTGGAAGCCAGAGGTAGGATCACACCTCATGCATGGAGAGCATCACATTCCTCTAAAAACAGCTGAGTAACAGCTTCTGGCTCCTCTTCATGCTGGGATTCATTGGGACTCATTGGGACAGCAGTTACCTCTCAGCCCACACCAAGTTCTATTGCAGAGCTCCAGACTCATTCTCCCGTGGGAATCGTGTTCCCAAGTCCCCACCCCCTGCATCCTTTGAATAGTTGCAGATACACAGAATCTGAAACCTGACCCTGGTCGTTCCTAGCCATTCACTGAGACTACTCTTACTGTGCTGAATTTGCAAACCAAACTAATGGCACAGCTACTGTGTGTGCTCCACAGGGAAAAAGAAGATGGGAGCTTAATTACAAAGGTGGGGAGCTGAGAGCAGTGGCACCAGCATGGGGAATGGGAAATAGCACTGCAGTGCCAGGGAGCTGTCATGAACCTACAGCTTTGTTGTCTGTACTCAGCCTTACTTGTAAGGCAAATAGTGCACGCCTTTCTCTGTGTTGTCAGTCCCCTATAATTGCCCAAATGTGTTATATAACAAAGGAAAAAATGCTCTACAGCCAAGAAGTACCACAAACCAAGCAATTAAATAGAATTTTGCACACTAAGCAGGGATGAAACTGCATTCTGTATGAAGTAGGGAGAGAGAAGAAAGGAAGCTGAGGCTTGGTGCAGCTCACAATCCTTTTTCTTCTTCCCTGCATATGTTCAAACATATTCAATGCTAATGCACCCATGTTCTTACTGCCAGTATACTGGAAATGCTTTCTAAATTCTAACAGTACACACAACACCATGTGAAAGGAGAATCTTAAATGTAATGAAACACAGAAAAGTTACTGTCGGGCCCGAACTCTAGCTCAGAAAAGTTAACGTGAAGGTATTTTCTTAGAAGCACAATTTGACCTAACCAAAGTACCTCTCTGAGTAGCAATGGGGAAAGTCTCTGAATGCAAACATTTCTGTTCAGCTCCCCAGCTTTGACAGCTTTTCTACAACCCATGAAGCCATGCCAATCTAAACCAACTCAGGAGCTCTGTGTTTAATAAGTTTCTTGTGTCTGATGCTTTGTTAAAAAGACAATATTCTTTATTATTAGAAAGTTATGTTCTGTATGGTTAGCCATCCAGTGATAACATCCCAGCTTCGAGCATTCAGCCCCCAATAGTACATGCCCTACACTCACTTTCGTGTCTTCTGCCCCTCCAACTTCAGTTCCAGCTGTGAAGAGCAGCAGAAGGCTGACTTGAAAAGAAGCAAAATAGAACCAGGAGGATTAGACCAAATCCCTCACACATGAAGAGTATTAAAATTTACCAAGCTTGTAAAAAAAAAAACAAAATCATCAACGAGAGACAATGTGTAGAAGATGCACGATAGGTGCTACTCACCAGCAACTCAGGGCTCATTGGCCTACGCCTGTATTTAGTGAATTTTTTTTAAAAACATTCTTTCAGTGCAAAGTTTAGGGATGCAAATGCAAAGAAATTAAAAAGCATCTCTGCTGTTTTTTAATGCAATCAAATTTTCACTTCCATAAACGAAGAGAGATGGGCTGCACTCATGGCTAAGACAGGAAACACAGTTAAGAACATAATTAAAAAACGAGAAGGATTTTTAGAAGGTTTTTATAAACCTGATAAAAGCTCTATGATTAAAAGCTCATGAAGTATTACATTTTCACAGTAGAGGAATGGCTTTTAGTAAGTAACTAATGACCTTTTGTCCACAGGGTTCTCAGCCTTGAAAAGCACTTCACTGGACCACTTCAAAATCTGCAGCACTGCACACATGAACCCTCTGCAGTCTTTCCCTGGAAAGCAGAGAGCTGGGGAACACAATTCCAGTCCTGGCTTTGCATCACAGTGCTCCTGCTGAGCTGAGCATCTTCCAAAAGTTAGAGTTAAAACAAATTCACATCACTGGGTACACACAGTAATTCAAACTAGCGTTAAATCCATGCAAGTTAGACAAGACATAGGTTGTATTTAACCACTTGTTCAACAGCAATTAGCAACATGCAGCACTTTGCTCCTGTTCACAGCTGGCTGATTATTGCCCGGTGCAGGAAGGGGAGAGGGGCACAAACCTCTGCAGCCTGAAGGTCTGGCTGGCGCTGACTTCCACAGAGGGCTGTGAAAACATTCTTTGCCCGCTCCTCTCTCTAAAAAGATTCTCATTAATATTAATAGATGCATTTCAGCATCATTTAGCACCTCTTATTGTGAGGACAGTATCTCCCAGAAACCCATCCTCTGGGAAAAAAAATCTCATTAAGAAATAATTCCTGCTATTCCTAATTAATACCTGAACAAACCACCTATGATCCATTTAGACTGTCCAAGAAATCAGCGTCTCCCATTAAAACAACTTCAAGATGCTTTTCAGAAAAATCCCTCCCGCTTTCCTCATTCAATACCAAGAAGTCTACACACAAACTTGTGGCAATTACAGCACATCCCTGACCTCCATTTGTAGAACCGACATCCTTATGAATGGCCAGAGCTCTGTGCTGTATATGCAAATGTCAACGAGCACACCACGTTCCCATGCTCCATTTGCATATCGAAATTCACACTGAACACACCGAATTCACTCATCAGTAAATGGAGTGAAAGAAGTCCCTCAACAGGCTGCCCAGGGTGAGGAGCTATTGTTGCAAATAAGCTTAAAGCTGGTATCAATAATAACAATAACAATAACAATAATAACAATTAGAATCGATGCTGGAACAGGGCCTCGATTTTTATCTCCTGAGGACTTCAGAAAAACTATTACACACTTGGCACATTGCCCACATCCTCCTTTCCTTTTCTCAAATTGTCCAATAGAAAAAGATTTTATTTCTTAAGAGAAATCTTTACAGAGAGAAAAAAAATACTGAGACTGTTTCAAAGCTCTCACTACAAAACCCGCCACTGAAACCCCTTGGATTCCATTCTGACAACCAAACATGGAAAACTGACGTTCGTTTGGAGAGATCATGAAAGGTTATTCAGCATTCTCATAACATGGAGATAACCCCCAATTCTTGCCCAAATTCTACACAGAATAACCAGATTGCATATAATCACTTTGACCACTCCTAAATGGAAAAGCTCCCACTGGAGTAATATTGTAATGTCTTACAACATGAAGCTGAACAGGGTGATAGAGATGAGCATCTCTACTGTGGAAGCATCTGACTAGTGCATGAGCAATCCCTACAGCCAGCAGAGCATATTATACATTTTAATTTGTGTGCTCTTGACAACAGACTGCAATAAATAATAAGAAAATTGTAATCACTCTACATTCTGCACAAGCCTGAATGTTTCATCCTTTATTTAATGCTATCTGACAAATGCTAGTATATTTGGGAGGAATTTGACCCTCAGTATGCTTCATGAAGATTCCTACAGATAACTGCACATTAAATATTAACGGTGCATATTTAGCTAACCAACTGTTTTATCTCTTTTAGAAGCTACTCAAAAGATTTCAACACAACTGAAGCCTTCCACCCCCTGATCCCAGAGCAGGGATGCACAGGTTGGTGTCACTTCCAGGAGGTGCAGTGCCATAGGAGCCACGTAGACCCCAGTGTCACTTCAATTCTTTCATTAAGCTTCCCAGGAATTGGTTAGACCTTTGGCCATAGCTGCAGAGAACTCACGCTTCATCAGTTCTGTGGGCAAGGAATTTCATTCTGAAGCTATTAATCATGCACTTTGCACAGTCATTCAGGAAAAAAAGAAATGAAGGTGAACTTGTGCCTACGTAATTTTTTTTTTTTTAATAGGAAAGGACATCTCCCCCCACCCCCACTTATCACAAGGATAACGGCCTCTCCATCTTCTACCCGCTGCTGTCACACTTCTAGCCTAACCACTGCAGAATGCTCCCTTCAAGTGAAGTCCCATACTCAGGCATCTGTATGAACAGAGGAGGGCAGCTATTAATAGGAACATTATGCTAATGTACATGGTCTAAATGCTGGCCTGAACACAGTTCAGTGCAGGTACAATTGTAGAGCTGCCTGGCACTATTGAGAAGCAACCTTTAGAATCCCCATAGCCTGGAGTCTCTCTGAACTGAACAGTGTTTTCTCCAGAAAGAGACCTTCACAAATGGTACTGCTGCTTCTGCATGACTTACCTTGCACGTCAGAGTAATTTGCTTAGTTTAAGTAATGTAAAGATGGAAGTAGTTTATTGCTGCAGTTAGAGAACACAAGTCAGACAAAACAGTATCTGGAAATCTAAAACTATCACAAAACTTAAGTTTGCATCATTAAAAAACGTCCATCATTCCAATAAACACAAAACAAATTATGACGTGCTCGTTAGACAACAATAAGGCTTCACAGGAGGGAAATTCCTGCTTTTCATGCTGTTCTCCCTATTCAGAGCCCAACTGTTTCTAATGGAAATTTTGTTTGCTATTGAGATTATGATTCAGCCGTGTTTTCCAGTCACCAGACCATCACCATACTTACAGCAAGGGCACGAATTTAAAGGAAACTGAAGATCTCCCTTTGGGACGCACACGTTTTACCAATATCCCACGAGCTAAGAGGAAGCAGGAGCACCATCTAAGCCAAGGCTTTGAAACCCAAGCTACCAAACTAAGCAATGAAACACATCAGCTCCGGGATACCAGAAGACAACTTATGGAACGAGATGCCAATGACAAACAGGATGCACCCGACTTTCTGGAATGGAAAATTCTTCAATAGGTGAACCGTAGCAACGGGTAAAATGAGCAGGCTGTTACCTGCAGGACAAGCTGCTGCCAGGCGGTTGCCAGTGGCTGACCATTGCCAATGTTGCAAATGCTCATGCGGTCTGCGGGCTGATTGGCACGCTCGAGTTGCAAGGAGACATTGCGCCGCTCTTCCTCGAGTGCACGGGTAAGCCGCTCAAAACGAGCTTCTTGCTCCTTAACAGATGCTAAAATGCTGGCAGCAGACCTGATATCATAGTCATCCATGATTGCTTTCAAATGCTCCTGCCTGTTAACTGACACGGGCAAATGGAGAGGGTTAGGCAAAGGGATGGGGAGGAGACAGGTCAGAGGTTAAGAATAAAAATGCACATTGTTAGTCACTGTACCAAAACAGCATTCACACTAAGCAGCAAATTCTACTACTCTTTGAAAAGACTTCCCTTTTCACTGATTTGATTTTCAATCTGAAGTAATTAATCCAGTGCTTCTCTATGAAAAATATACGCTCACCTTGGATAGACTTGATATTTAATTCCTTTGATCTTTTTGCTAAAACTGCTCGACAGGAATATACATCCCTCTTGCAGAACTAATCTCACTATGCAAATACTAACAGACTTGGAAAGAATTATACAAAACACAACTGGAGGGGTGAGGAATGCCACCTTTCTCTCTACAGACACCTGGCATGTTTGACTTGAACAGCAAACGAGAAGTCTAACATTTTTGAAGCTAAACTACATAGTACAAAAAACAATTGCATTCATTTTTCCAAGTGAATGGAATCCCCCCAAGTTTAGCAGACAGCAGCTGAAAATAGTTTTCCATTTTAAATTACAGGAGTATGCCGTAACATGAAAGATATTTTTAAATACAGACAGTGCAATTGCAGTTGAAATGCGCTTGATGATTTCAGCATGGGAGCCAATGAAGCAGTCCTTCATGCAGCTGTTCACTAATAATGTAAATGAAAAAGCCCAAATCAAACATCTTCAATGGAAAACACACAGGATTGCTTGTCTTTCAGTGCAGGAAAAAGAATTCAGAGAACTAGATGTGTGATGTATGTCCTGCCTTCTGTCTTCACGAGAGTTATGAAGAATTTAATTTAAAACTATTTCCACCTGTATGGTACACGGAGCAAAACTCCCCTTCAATTCACAGATCTATCATTCCAACATCAGTTAAGATGTTTTCATAACTGTATAAAACCAGCAACAGAACATAAGCATTAAGTGGTGGCTTCAATGGAATCCTTGTCACTAAAGCTAAACTAGTAACTAGTTTACTACTGCATGCTAGTAAAATACCTGCAGCTTTTTGGAGCAGAGCACACAGAGGTACAATTTTCTTCAGGTCCTGTAATCCAAGTGAATTTTATACCAATTTTATGCCAAGAGTTACACTACCTAGAAAGGACCCCTTCACGGGCATCAAAAGCAATGCTTCCTCTCACCAGAGAGATTCTTTGTTTCCCCCATCTATCAACAGTTAACAGGAGCACTGGTGATACCGAAGCTTGGCTTCCAGAAGCTGAGCATTTCATCGCTGTGCGTGAATTGGTGCTTTTTTCACATCCAATACATTTATCAGGCCTTTTTCCTGTGTTGAATCCATAGCAGCTAATAATAACGTTCTGCAGTATTCCCAAAAGAGAGGTATTAGTGAGTATAGCTACTCACTATATATGTGATAACTGCATGTTATCACGTAAGTTTGCTGGAAACTTATAAATAACCTTGAGGTTTCTCTTCTCCTGAAGCCATCCAGAAGGCCCACAAGACACTGAAGCAGAAGTGATTGACTAAAAACCCACAGCAGATACTTTGATTTCATCGGAAACAACCTGTCAATAGCTCTGTAGTTCAATGTTAGCTCCTAAAAAGTTGCTTTTGAAAGGAGTCCGAGTGTTGGAAAGCGTAAGGACTACTATGTATTAATTTCACAATGTTTGCCATCATGATTTCAGTTTCTCATGCTTTCAGCTCAGTAAGCAGAAGTGTAATATAATAGAAAGACTGTTCTTACTTATGCATTGGATTTAAATCCTGTTGATATCCTGAAGGAAAACCAAAAACCAAAGGGTTTCCAGATGCCACACACTGGTCAAACATAGACCATGTTGTCAACCATCCAACAGAAGAGTGAACTTGCAGGAAGTCCATGCAAGGCAGGACAGTACTGCAGGACTCACCTGCTACAGCTCAGCAAGATTTAGCCCCAGCACAGCTTACACAAATACAGCCATGCTTCCTGGACCTAAGCTGTCTGATGTGCAGCCAACTTGCAAATATCAACTTCTGTGCTTCCCTGCTTTGCACAGATGGAGCCAGCTTTGCCTCCCAGCAGTGCAGACATGCTTACAGATTCCTCAGGAGTTTTATCCTGGATGTATTCATCCTGGATGTTGAGATGAAACTCAGAAATCCAATGCAGGATGAAACTTTTCTGTCCTAAGTTAAACAACGGGCTTATGTGTCGTGATGGTAAGCCTACATACACATAACAGAAGGAAGCAGAATCAAACTATAGGAGTCCTAAGCATTCCTCCAGGTTTTTCATCAGGAAAAGGTCAGAACTGAGCTCTAGTGGAAAGTAATCACTGTAGAGCTCATCAAATATGCTGTAACAATTTACCGCATTTCTTCATGGAGACAAGAGTTCCATCTTAAAAACAAAAAAGCACTAAAAATTATTCAGCCTCAGATTAAGCTTCATTTCAAGGATTTAAAAGACTCTCTACTTAAAAAATACCTGAACCTCACCTGAGAACATATAACTGCAAGCTTCCTTTGTAGGACCTTCAGATTACACAGGGAGTTTGTTGTCTGCAGCTAAAACCACTTTTTCCTCATATGTGACCATGATATGAGATAGCTGTTCTCTTTTGGAAGCCCTGTGAGCTGGTAGGTCTATGGACTGAATTCAAAACATGAACCACTAGGACTGTGAGAAGAATACAAGATGTCAACTACAGTAACTAAATTCACAAAACACATTCCCTTTAAAATACACATTGAAAGTTTCTGTTCTGAGGAAAGGCATTAGCAAAAGCAGCATGTGAAACTGAAGCATCTCCTCTACTACAGATTCTGAAGCAGTAACAGCTTGAATGATTGAAGCTAATTCTGATGGCTTAGCTAATGTATAACTTTCAAGTCACATTCAGAGAACGTGACAGAGACCCCATTCTGAAAATTCCTAATGAGCTGTAAGAACTTGATGCCACACATGAGAGATCCTAGAAACTTGGGTTCTCTAAACAGTACAAATCTCTTGAGAGCTATAGAGATCTCCATGCAGAAAATGAAACATTAACCTCCTTCCAACAGTAAATGTGGTGCTTCTTTTTTCTGCACAAAGAAAGACATAAGGCTGAAAATAAACATATATTTTCAGACGTACAATTAGTGACCATAAAATTCCTAATTGCTATGCAGAAACAGCAGCAGGACCAGTAACTGCCTTTTAAGAACAATTGGACAAAGACCGGCTTCTGCATTTCAAATGATCTATTAGCAGATAAATACTTGTTTGCTGTTGATTGCACTCCCAGTTATTTACTCAGGGTTTCAACAATTTACATTATCAGCAGTCTAGACTACAGACTAGAGGAGGAAAACAGAAGTACTGACTCATGAGTTACTCAGGCCGCCACTAGCAATTTGCTGCAATTTGTGACTAAATTAAAGTGCACTGAAAAGCCTATGACTAAATGAAAATATTAGACCTATAGCAGCCAGGTAAAGTATATTCCTTAGGCTGCACTTCTAAAAACAGCAAACACTTTCCTATGAGGTGTCAAAGGCTACGCTGACAGCAGCAAATCCTCTCCCACCCGCCTATGTGACTCTAAATACATTATTGTGCTGTGTTAGAGTTGAAGCCAAGTAAGAGGATCTATTTTTTTTTTTTGACTGTTCATGTGAAGAACTAACGCATCAAATGACCACCTATAGGTCAATACAGCTTAAGTGCTCAAAAGGGATGAAAATCATCCCTGTGCAAAGGCGCCAAAGATGGGGAGCCTGTACACTGCTAATGCCCCAGCTCATGCTTGAGTTTGAAGGATCTTGGAGCTACTGGCGTGCCCAGGGTCACTTGGTCCTCTGCACACTAATTTTGGTAATACAGAATGTAGCTGATGGTCAATAACTGTCAAAGAGCCCTTGAAATAGAGGTATCAGTTTCTCTGATTTTTGTGCTTCTAAACTGAACAGTCCTTGAGAACCTCAAATCCCAGAACTGGGATCCTCAGAACGCTCTGCCTTTCTAAAGCAATTGCACACTATAGTGAGCTGTGCCTGAAGAGAGCAGCCCAGAGCATTGCAGAACCTTCTCTTGGGGAAAGGGAAGTGCCTCTCAAGGCACACAGGAAATGTCTCAGCTCCAATAGTCCAAATACTGAGCATTGCTATTGCACAGGACAGCCCAGTCTAAGTCCGCTAGGTCCTGCTAGCAAGAAATGATACTATGATGAGCAACAAGAAGCCTGTATGTACAGCAAATTAACAGCTGTAGTAGCAAACATGAAAGCATGCATGGAAACAGTTGCTATGTGCTTCTACAGGGAGGAAAAACATCAGCTTAAAAGCAAAAGTGGGACTAAAATAATTTGTGAAACTGAAGCATAGCGCATGCTAATTACGTTTTCACCCTGAAGAGCTGCAAGAGAGGAGCAGCACAAAATGACTGTTATCACCCATGCCGTATCACAAAGCATGCAGAGAAAACCAAGCAAGATACACACCTAGTGAATTACTGAGGTCTGAATGTCAGAGCTGCTGTGACATCACTCGCTAAGACTAGGAAAGTAGTGACAAAGTAGGACAGCAGCCTCAAGCAGAACCAGCTAGAAGAGAGGAAAGAAGAAAGAGTTGGTTAATAAGGTATTACAGCCTCTTCTGCATACAGTCACTTCCCAGGTTCTCCTTAGCATGTTGTATAAATTATTTATAATGCTGTTTTGCTCCTAAAATGGAAGAAAAAGAAAGAAACAACATTCAAAGGAGGCAATCTTGAGACTGCTGCAGACTACAAAGTAATACCAAAAAAGGTTTGTGATCTGTTATCAGCAGTCAATACCTGCAATTCCTGAGAGTCTGCTGAACTGGGGCAGATTAAACTGGAGCACTGAGTTTGAACATTACAGAACTGGATGTTGTAGCCAAACGTTTTACAACATAGAAATCTAACGTGACACCCTTTAATTAACAGCAATCATCTAGGCACACAACTTGGGCCTCGTTTTTGATGTATGAGCCCCCAAACAGCGCAGGATTGTTTCATGGATACCAATCAGAGGGTAGCTTTCTTTCTAAAAAATGCACGCAGCACAATAGTTTGAAGTCACTTTCTTTAGCCTGTTTGTAAGCAATCCTACAGGAAAACCAAGTGAAAGTAGGCTCTTGGATGTTAGGTCTTTTATTTAACTTGGTAAATCTCTGACCTGTTTAGTCATAAAACATTAAGCACCACACTTCTCTGGGTCACTGGTTGCAAATACAGTACCTGTTTTTGCTGGATAACATAGAGAATAGAATCCATTTCACAAAGGCATGGTTCCACGAAGCAGCATATCCGGTTTTAAGCTACAACCCTGCAGACATGCAGCAACCACACGGCACCAAGTACAGAGCCAGTACAAACTTACTTTTGCTGGTCCAAATATTTCAGAACACTTTCAAAGAGTAATTTTGCCCCAGCAGATTTCATGCTTGACCAGGTACCGTCTGCCTTCCTGAAGCCAGCATAAACACCATTTCATATCTTTCTGCCAAATTACCAGAAATAGGATCCTTTCATTGCATTGATTCAGTCTCAAAGGGCAAGGAATTGCCATGTGAAAGAGCAACAACTCATTTTCCTTAAACTAAAGGAAGTAAATGCTGTGCTCAGAACTTACTAGATAGAATAACAGCGGTGAGGGTATGCCCAAACATGAAAGCAAGGAGGCAGAGTGAGAGAAACACTAACCTGAAGTAAATGACCAAGAAGAATAAATTAAGCATAATTCAGTTTCTACAGACAAAAGAGCAATACTTTGCAAAAACAAATTCCAAATAAACTGCTTCTCAGACCTTACGGTGAGATCTGTCTTGAGCGCGGCTCTCCTGCTGCTGCTGCTCTGGTTGAGGGAGCTCTGATTTGACCCTTACGTGACAATCTCCAGCAATGAATAGCAATGAGGAATTCACAAAGAAGGCTATTTCAGTATAGTTCTCTCATAGGCACAGACAGACACGCTGTGTTGGCATCAAAAGAAACAAAAAAGCTGGTCAGGGCTTTTTTTTAATTGTTAGGACACAAGCAGTCTGTGAGACAAGGCTTCCACTAGGGAGAAGGCAAGAGGAGAGGAAATGCAGAACTAAGAAGGAGCTTTGGATCTTAAAAAGCACAGCAATGCATGCTACAGCTTGCCAGTTCTATCACTGCAGAAAAATGTCTGCATAAAGTATTTGAGCACTACATCAGTACAAGATTTCATCCAGACATCCAGCAGGAATCATTTCACAGAAACAAACTGCAGAGTTACAGAACAAACTACACTCTGGGCTTGGCAACACGCACAGAACCACATATACATACATCACTGCATGCACTGTGCTCTTCTAGGAGCTATATAGAGGTTCTACACAGCTTTTAATAAGTACTTAAATATATATGTAAGTATATATATATTTAAGCACACGTGTATATATATATACTTACATACACTAAAATATATAAATGTTGTATTATGTTATAGATCGTATATTATATACACTAATATGTATTTAAATATATGGAAATGGAGGATACATATATAAAAACTATACTAATTCAAAGCACTTCTTGCATCGTCACACCTGCACTTAATCTCACGCAGAAAGAAGTGCACTGAACAAAGTCCTCCCAGAACAGATACAAACCTGCTGGCAAAGGTGCATTTTGGATCACAGGCTCAGTTTGCAAGAACAAAGCTAATTCTACAATTGTACCAATGCCTACCACTGTCAGCAGAAATCTGCACTGAGACTTCTACCTTAATGTGCCACTTAAATACAGACCTTCTAGCTCATCTCTCCTGATTCACCTGTGCACATTTAAATGACACCAACCAGGGTCTTTCTATGGACTTGGAAAATGACTCCTCACTTCATAGCAACACATTACATCAAATTCTTCTGGATTTTCTTCTAAAATCCCATGCAGTGTTTTCAGGGCTTGATGACACAGCAGGCCCACATAGCTTTAATTATACTGTCATTCTGTCTCCCTAGTAAGATACACTTCTATTGCTACGGCATGCTCCCAAAGGGAGAGAAAAATAAATTAGAGAAATACAAAACACCTCTATAACTACATGCATACAATAGCATAAATAATTCAGAAGAGCATTATACAAAAATCACCCTTGTAAAGATATTTCAATATGAAGGAAAAGTTTTAGCTTATGAGTAGGTCTGCCCCAAAGTTCCATTTCATTCTGAAATTTATCATTTATAGACCAGAAGAGCATGACAGCGCCTTGCTGAAGCACAGCCCTTGCTCCTCCAGCCCTAGGAGCTTGTCTGCACCAAGTAAGCTTAATTCTTCAATCACAGAGCATTCGTTATGCCACACTTCCCCTGAAGATCAGCGTTGGTGTTAATTAAGCATAAAATAGCACAGCAAAGTGGTGCTGTGTTCGCTCACACTGAGTGTCCACCCTAAGGTTTAATGGAGTATGCGATGCACTGTGAGTTCACACTGTGCACTGCAAGTGCACAAATGCCTCCTCCCCCCACATTTTCACATGAGCATTTAGGTGAAGCAGTTTTTTTAAAATCACATACATATCAAAAGATGGGACAATGCAGAGATAGCTGCATTTGGACTTTGGTACAAGTCTGCAGAACATGAATGTGACAGCTCAAATCCCCTGCTATTGTTCCACCTCACTGAGTGCTAATTCCAAACTCAGTCAGGACCATGAAAACACAGGCATCATTCGTTTTTTTCATTGCCATCATTAAAAGAATCACTGGTTTGCAGAACTTAATTTCCATTTATCTACTTTACTCGGGTAGCATTTGGGAAACAGCACTTTATTCCCCCATATCAAGAAGCCAACCCTGTAACACAAATAGCATATCTGCTACTTCTCAAACCTATGACTCAATTTTCTTCGTGGCTTGAAATTCTGCAAGTATGATTGCTACTGGCCTGATTAGTTCACAGGCCAATCACTTTAACGCCCTACAGCACATGCCAACGCATCCTAAAACAGCTGCATGTCATTGATTTTTCAAAGGTCTCCCCCACTGAAATCAATAAGCAGCTCTACTTAAAAAACGGATTGCACTTTGTGGCCCCTTTCTGATTCATGTATATTCAGGTTTCAAGGTATTCTCACAGCTGCTGTTGGCAGAAGCTATAGCTATGAGCTGCAGCTCTGCCCTGACCGCAGCCCAACTCCCACTGCCGTGGCGTTTGCCTGGCCCTCCACACTGAGCAGAACCAACCTGCACCTGTCTGCATCAACTTTAACCTAGCAGAAAGCTCCACCAGAAAGCAGGAAATTTCAGTAGAAGATTGCCATTTTACTAAGTACTGCCTTCCACACAGCCAGAACAAAGCTCTCCAGCAGTGCAGCTTACATGAATGCAAGATTCCAGGTGTTGCAGTAACTGCCGGTGCACTAGCACTGCTACCTGCACTGGACAATATTGACAGACCTGGTCCATAAAGACTTCCTTACCATGCTGTACTGCCTTGCTGGGCTATACTGCAAGCAATGCCACTAAAAATCAATAGGTCTACTGTCAGAACAGGGCTATTTCAAGGAAAAAGAGGTATCTAAATCAAAAGCAGTGCATTTCATAACTTCACTCTCCAGTCCTTATTTTAGCATTTTAAGGCTTGCCTCCATTCATGCAAAGTCATGTTTGGCCATAGGTAAGTCAATCACATGAACAAACTGCAACTGCATTATAAAATTATTTTATTTTTTTAAAACACAGAATACTTAAAGATTTCACTATACAATACAACCCTACCCTCATTTTTCCTGGCCTCCAGGTGTACTTTGGTAAAAGTGCTACCATTATGAGAGAAAGGCTACAGAAAGCAACACAACCCAGAGCGTCTGCATGCTGCCTACAGCTGAGAACTGCCATGTTTACAGCCCTTGCATCTCCATCTTCTGAAGTGCAAGAACAGAGGCAGCGCTAGGCAGCATCTCCCGTAGCCAGACCAGTTCTCCTCACTGATAAAATGGAACAACTGAAATACTACAGTAAGGCTGGAAAATCCTACAGATGGTTGTGATCATCATTTCACAGAGGATATTGTTGTGGTATCTTCTAACACAGACAAAATAACAAAATGGCAAAGCAACAACCATCAGGACGGCTCTGCGGTTCAGCTGAACAGCAGCCTGCTTTCTCTCTCCCAAGTGCTCCAGCAGCAGTGGCAGCAGGCAGCACGCTGCAGCCAGCTGACACCGGGAAACGGCCCTCCATTGCAGTTAGGGAGGAAAAAATTAAACGCGACCCCACAAAGCGGTGAGCACTTAAAGCTCAGCAACAGATGTGCCAAATGACTTATCCCAAGCAGGAGGAGTTAACTGATGTTATAAATAATGCTCTGAATTAAAAAAAGAAAAAAAGGCCAAAGCCACAAAAACCGCTCCCAAACAGATAAGTCTGACATCCAAGGCACACTGTGCAGCTTCACTTAGGAACTATTTTCCTTTAAAACGTGGGCTTGGGTGTTCTACATGCAGATTAACAGAGATAATTTGATTTCAGGCTACTGAGAGATTTCCTTCCTTTCATGTTTCAGAACAGGGCTGCAAGCAGCTAAATGAGATCTGTAGATTACAGTAGAAGAAAGGCTAATAGAACTGCACAGCTACATTCCTGGGTAATAACCAATGTTCAGTAATACAGGGCTCCAGTCTCAAGGTTTATGAAGACATTTCCCATTAGTGCTTTTAAGATTAACGCAAATAAATGCATCAAAAGGAAACAGATCTTTTAACCCATCTGAATCAAACACTTAGCATTTTACTCCAATAAACCATCTGTCATTGCTAGGGAACAAAATAATCACAACTCATGTTTAAAGCAAGCATCTTTCCTGTGGTTTTCCTATGGCTTTCAGGAGGAAAACAAAGAGCAAACCTCTCCTGCCTTCCTTCTGAACATGCATCTTGGTTAACTCTCACTGCCACGTCTGGTGGGTTGTGCGGCTTCTGCGTCACCCAGAAGGAAACTGAAGATATTGGTATGGACAGGAAGGATAAAGTGGCAACATTCATGTTTAATTCTTGAAGCCACTACATCAAATGAATTTTATTAGCTGCTTACCAATCAATCCTACTGCATTACTCACTCATTAATGAGGCATTTCAACCTCTTTAAAACCAGCCAGATTTAGACCCCACATTGCTTTAGATCAGGACCAGTATCAATGAAAAGGAGATTAAAGCAATATGAAGAGGGATGGAACAGAATGAGGCCCTCTAGCTCTAATTCTCTCCAGTAACATCTGTCTTATTCTAAATCAAGTGGTTTTTTTCTAGCAAGCTGAATGTGGAAGCCTGAGGCACAATGTGAAACCTACTCAGAGCAGAACTATAGATCTGCTTTCTGCAGTCGTATGTGCAGATAAAGATGGCTCAGACAGACCCTCTGCTGTCTCAGCATCTGTAAATTTAAAATGCAATCGAGTTCATTTTACCCTCATAAGTTTAGGATGAAATGCAAGTTTGTCACGGTTAACACCAGAGCTGTTGTAGAGCTACAAGACAAGCATGCATCTGAGAACTGATAAATAATATCTGAACAAAATAGAAGTACTGAGCTCATCTTGTGTCATGAATGGTCATTCAGTTAATGCATAAACATTTAAGGGCAGGAAAAACAGATACATTTTAATGACAGTCTCAAAGAAACTCACCATTCCATATGGTGGATTTTGGCAAGTAAGATCTCTAACGCTGCCAGCAAAACAGCTGTTGTTACACATTGCAAAACATCCCCTCCAGAGCCCTGCTGTCTGAGGGCAGAAACAATGCCATCAGAACTGCCCATTTACTCCTCTGCATTCAGGTGCAAGGCATTGTTTCATCTTCAGAGTAGGAATCTTGTGTCACCCAGAAGTATTTTCTGTTCTATCAGCCAAGCATGTTGTCTGCTTCAGGGTTATACTAGCAGCCAAAATAGCCTTCAGAGAATAATGTTCAGCACATGACTTGTTCGTATCACTGGGTAAATCAAGAAGCCATAGTAACCCAATTGATTGTGCACATTCTAGTGTTCTGTACTCATGTAGTGCTTTCACTTGCATGGAATAGAAGTGCATAGCGTTTGTTACGTTCACCTGTTTAATCAATAAAGATTTTTGACACCACTGCAAGTAACAATTTAAATTAACATTAAATTCAAATTAAGATTTGACTATTTACTATACAAGTTTTACTTTAAGAAAAACACATTTGTTTATAACTACCAACATTTGAACATCTCAAGTTTTCCCTGACAGGCCTGTCTCCCAGCTCACTTTCTCTTTCAGAAAAACTTCAGCTACAATAATTTGGCAGTCTCCCACATCACTAAGAAAAAACACAAGCGTGTGCTTCTTCCAGTAGTGGCCCAGAAGACAGAGCCAAGCAATTTGCTATCAGTCGGCAGCCCCACAGCTGCCAGCACAGTGCAGAGGTGCTGGATGTCTCTCTTCAGCTTTGCTCAAAGGCTGCAGAGTCACCACAGCCTTGCTATCACCAACATGTTAACACCTAAAGTGAACCTCAAGGGATTTCCCTCTTTCCTGTCTATAAGACCTGCTCCAAATTTACCTCATCATAAGACTTTATCTAGACTCCATTTAGACTACTACTATTGCACTGATGCTCCTCTAGAATCTGCAGTTCAGAACAACAAAAGGAAACTTCATGCTTTTGCTGTTGGCATCCAAGCAAAATGAAAATGAGTTTCTGAGACAAAGAGAAGATTAAAGGTAATGTAATATCTATTTCCCAGAAGATGAATTCAAGTCTCACAAGACAACCCTAATCACAGACATATCCTAGTTTTCTAAACACTTAGATTCCAAACACCTTTATCACTAGATTCTATTCCATCGCAGCAAAGAAGAACCAGAGAGCCTTAAAACCAATCAGTCACAGGAAGAAGTGGTACAGATAACTTCCTCAGTGGCATGCTGAATAAGGAAAGATTTTCTTTCTGTTCTCTAATTCATGACAAGAAATCCAGCAGTTACAACTGAACACTCTGGTACCAGACATGGAAAAAATACTGATAGCAGAGGCAGTAGAAATCTCTGCATTCGATTATTTTCTAAAATAGCAGAAACAGTTGTGCACCTTGGCCTCAAAGCCTTTCAAGTGCTGCACTTGAAGGTCCTTCTGTTTGTGGCCTGGTGGCACATAGCGTTTAAGTACCACGTTTTTAATACTTGCCATCCTACCACTATTTGAAAATCAATTTTAGTTGGCCTTCAATATTCTATAAACTGATGCATTTCCAAGAGGTGTAAAAACAAAACAAAACAAAAAACAAAGTGTAATATCTTAACATACGCAGAAACAAAGCAACAAACTACTGAAGAGACACCTGGTAAGCAAGTGAAGAAACAATACCTTTTACAGTGTTCTTCTCTTGCAGAGGCTTTACAACAGGAATTCTGCCTTGATTTGATGATAATTCTGTCAGAGAAACAAAGAAAGGAAAAAAGACATTAAATCCGGGGAAAATGGAAAGAGAGGATTATATTTATATAACAAATACTGTCCACATTGTAAAGGGGAAATCTGTTAGTTTTGTCTTTACTTGATTTCTATTCCCTGAGTCATGCAGGCACGCAAGACTCCTGTGTTACTTCAGGCACCTGTCCCACCATCACCTGAGACCTTCAGAGATCCCATACAACTGGAGTACAGAAAGTAAGCTCGACAGGAAATGTTCTTTGGCTAAGGAGCCCTTCCAACCCTCTTGATTTCTGTCCCAGTAGCAAATTCCATGTATCAAATAATTCCAAACATAGAACTTAAATCAAAGAACATTTAATTTGCCACTGATTCATAGCAAAAATTGTTTCCTCCATTAGCACACATCACAGCATTTTCAGTCATTCAGGCCTAAATGCCATCTAGCTGACTCTAAAAATGTCAACTGTGGATACAAATACATCCCATGCTGCTTGACATTTCCTACTGCTAGAAGATACAATATGAGAAATCAGGACAGGGAGAAATTCACCAGAAAGAACTCAACACTTTAAAAAAAAAAAAATGTCTTAGTTTGAGCTTCAGATGCACCCTATGGACAGGCAAAGAATGGGAAACTGCACAGGTTGCTCCCTGCCTTACAGTTTGCACAAAACCACCCATGAAAGGCATTCTCTGCTCCTGAGCAGATTCCTCTCCTGTGCACAGATACAATTAAACTGCTACATGTGAGGCAAGTAGAAGAGATGAGAGACATGACAGTGTGACGCAGCCAGACAAGCAGGCTACTTCTCAGTTCAGTCGGACACTGCTTTGTAAGCAGGTATTGCAACGCCTTGCTAGCAGAAGCCTCTATCTTCAGATCCTTCTGTCCGTTGAGCTTCTCTCTGGCTTTTCTGGCACTGTAATAACTAATATGTGGTTGACATGGGTTACATGGGAATAGAACAACTACCTGCAGAATCATTGCTCCCACCCTCACTGCACTCAAACAGCCCAGAATGTAATATTTCCCTTACTTACACTAATAATTACGCAGGCAGCACAATTTTGATTAACAACAGAATTACACAGATGGAAATGAGGCCAGCGGAAAAGAACTCACTTGGTCTAAAGAGGTCTGCCAGTGTCTTGTCTGTATTGATTGCCAGCAGCCCATGCCTCCAGCTGTGTGTTTGCCTCAGCAAGGACTTTGTCACAGATAAATCACTGGGAGCACAGGCAGAGCTGAGCTGTACTCCTCACGCCATATTCTACCCTTGTTGTGAACTGCTTCTCTTAAACAACACAAGGGAACGAGCAGAAGGAATTTCCTACCAAATCTCGCACTCAGTCTACGACATTCCACCAAGAGATGAACAACCAGCTGTTTGATATTCCAATATTTGCCTTCAATTATCTTTAGAAATTCATTTTGAAAAGCATTTTCTGTGTCACATATGCGCTTGGAGTTCCTTTATAAACTCCTACTCATTCTTAATTATAATGTAAATCAGTGGATCGACATCAAACAAGCAACCATTAACTAAATCAGCTGATAAAAACACAAAGTTCAGACAGCAGTGGCAAAACGCCCAGAACATCAGAAAAAGCCTCCTAACAGCTCAGTCAACATGGATAGACACACAGACCTTTCAAAATAGATGCGCTGGGTAATAACAGTTACTGCCAGTAAGTGGTATATAAGTACTGCAAAAGAGATAAAAAGCCCACGTACCACTACAGATGTGTCACAGATCTGATCCGTGGCTTTTCTGAATGTCAGAACTGAAGACACACCACAAGCCAGAAAATGCCACTGAAGTCATTACATGCAGAACAGTGAAGTAAATTATTTGTTAGGGTAACGATGGCTGAGCTAACTTCAGCCACCTACCTGCACCTATCTCCTGCAGTTTGAATGCGCCATGTCTTTATCGACAAAGAAAACTTGACAAATGCAGAACAGAAGGCAACAGGGGACCACTACAAGGTAGCGTGAGAAGAGCAAGTGGCCCTTACACTAACCCTCTGCTGAAGGAAATGCACATTAGTGTTTATAAGCAGCCCAGACAGCATTTCCTGTAAGACCAGGATTATCTACTGAACATCAAAGTTACATTAAAACTGCCAATTCTGCATAGCCACACATCTATGAAGGGCAGCATTTTCAAGATTTGCTTTCCATCACATTGTACAGATTAGCAAACATGAGATTTGCAAAATCTACCAGGTAGCCATGAATTATACGTTGCTATCGGTATTTAAAGTTCATAATCCTCCTATCAAGATTCTGCTGACAGCAGGTCATACCACTACTAGGCATCCAGGAGCTAAAGGACAGGTAGGCGTGCACAATATCATTATGATTATAAGAACCAGAAGCACTCTGCAGCCAACATCAGATGTCTCTGGGTCCATCAGGCATCCTTCTAGCAGCTGAGCAATGCTGCTCCAGCTGCCAATGGCTAAAACATCTCCCAGGCTGGCAACTGAGCCAGCAAGGTCTCAGTTCTGAACAAAGGAGAGTTACCAGATATTCTGTCAATAGAGATTCAGGTTTTTTCCCAATTTCCAGGAACAGGAAAAGCAACTAAAAGGTGATCTTAACTCCCAGAAATGTGTGTCTCCATATTCACAAAAAGATTATGCTACTACCTATAATTTCATGTTAGCTGGTGCACGCTAAGCACATTTATTAACATATCTTGTTCGCCGGTGCTTTCAGTTCAATAGGTTTAGGAATGGTGGAGTCATAACAGTTTGTTGGGTATTACCTTGGTTTTAAACACTAAAGAAGGGTTCTGGCTCTTACTTTAAAAAGGCTAAGGGGTAACAGCAGGAGGAATCTGGTTATCCTGGCACTACTTGAGCAGAGTTACTTGCTTTGCTGTACTATTTCCATTTTTATGACTGCTCTCATCTCTTTTCACATACTGCTTTCTCTCTGCCAACATAGAAAATTTTACTATGATCCTGCTGTAAAGAAATGGAAGCGATTTCCTAATGCTCACACGGTTTTACATTTATCATTAAGGTCAATGAAAGGAGATTAAGCTAAATCATATTCCTAAAATGCTGGCAATCCTTCTAATTGAGAACAGTTTTTCTAAGAAATGTTGCTTTTTCTAAGAAATACTGTTGTGTGGAATGTTAGAGAAAACCCAGACAAGAAACATCCAGGGAAAGCACAAGCCAGTAGAAAAAGAGAGGAAGGAGAGGGCAGACTGACCACTGGAAATTTAGTAGCATAAAGCAGTTAATCTAGTTCAGTGACAGCTTGACCTTAGAGTCCCAAATAATGCATTTTGTTAAAAGTGGAGCCATAAACAAGAGATGGAAGATGTCTCTGAAAGGTCACTAACCCACTAAATACAGTGGCAGCAAAATGGAAGAGTATGGCACACGCTAGAAAACCTCGCGATGAAACGTGCTGACACCAAATAAATTGGAGTGGGAAGAGTGCAAGAACAGGCAAAAAAAGGCACTTGGGAGATGAACACTTCCAGGGTAAACAGCAGCAGTAGTGCCAAGTGCAAACCAGCTGTGTAAGCACTGCCAAAACGTCTTCGGAGCTACGACCAGGAGTGTCAGCAAGCGCCTGAATAATTACATTTCTCCCTCTCAGGATACTTGTCTTGTGGCTGCTGTGATAGCTTGCTCACATAAGTATTAGAAGGCATGGAAGTAATAACAGACATCTGAAATTAATGTTTTTGATACATGATTTAGAGACTGCAGAGAACTTCTTTGTTCCTTGGCAGAGGGAAAATAAGTGCAAAAACATACACAGAAGCAGGGAAACAAGGAGAGTAAGGTCAGAAGAAGGCAAACACTATGTCTAAAATGACAAAGAAATACATAATATGTATTTAATGTAATTAATACATCATTAATATAGAAATAAACACATGAACAATCTGCAAAAACGTGAATCATGCTGCTGGTTTTGCTCCCAAAACAAAGAGAAATAAAGTAAGAACAGAAGCCAGAGGGACAAATGAGCACATTATGCATTTTAAAACGCGGATGCACAGTGCACTCGAGCTTCCTGAGCTCAGATGCCATCAAGATACTAAGACTTGCAGAACCCTTTTGTCAAAGCACACCGCTCACAGTTTAAACTCACCCTCCACTCACCAGAACGCAGGCAGAAAGGAGAACAAGACAGCACAGGTAGCCACAAAGCAGGAAGAAAAGCTGGCAGGTCTCATTCTAGCTCTGCCAGCCTGGACAGCCTTCTCCTAACAAACCGCAAATGTGATAAAACTGAGGAACAGGCATGAGTGTCAAAAACACAAAAGCAATAGCTCTACCACACGAGTCTTATCTGCACCTTAAATGTTTATAGTCTTCAGATTTCAGAGAGAGTGTGGCTGCACATCTGCTGTCAGTCTGAATGCACGCCTTCTAAAATAAGTGACTGCAGACACTACAGGGCCACAGCAGCTCAGGGGGAATTCAGACGCCAGCTCCCAGTCTGCCTCCATCACTGGAAGGCTGTGGCAGACCAGCACTGCTCAGATGCTAGATTGCTCCTCTCTAATTATATTATTCCTTCTGAATGATTCAGTGACATCTCCAGTTTCTGTGGCATTAAAAAAGCAGCGAAAAAGCTGAGGCCAATATTCTAGACTCAGAAATCCTCAGCTTGACTCGTTAATTATTAGAAAATAATACATGTCCTGAAGGTACCTTGAAAATAAGCAAGATATTCTGATTTCCAGCCACAACAGCACCACACAGGTTGTAGATGTTTCTCAGATGTGAAAACACATAGACATTAAACAGATCTACAAACACTGTAAGGGAGATGACACCGTATCAGCCCTGCAACGTTGCACACAAATCTATTTGTCTCTAACTGTAGAATTATTGTAATGAAAGAACAATGTTTTGCTTGCTACCGGAAAGAGATAATCATCCTTAGTAGGCTGACAGAACTACACACAGCTGCTGAGCACTAAGCTGCCCATACGATGTTAATACAGCCCCATGAC